GAGCAGTTTATCTTGAACAATTGGTAGCATTTAAAATGCTCAGTCTGTGAACATTTTATTACGCTTATGTGTACAAGCCCTGATGTGAAGAAACACTTGACAGTAGCATCATAAAGCCAACATCATAGGGTTTTACTGTACTTACCTTACTGCACTCATATCACCGTGATAAGAAGAGCGAGAGCTGTCACAAATCAATATTGCAAATGTTCATATAATCATGCCTACAGGCAAAGTAAATTATGCAAGATGAGCTGTTCAACTCTGCCACCAGGCACAAACGGCACAGACAAGGCTAAGGCTATCTAACGACAAGCCTGGTCATGGAATGCAATACGCCACAAACGGCGCATGACATATGACCCCGTGTTATATCATCATAAATGCAAAAATCGTACATTCTGATGAGGCTTAACTGTTCCAGGATTCACTGCTCATTCCAGAAATGTGTGCGAATAGCGAAATGACGGATAATTTCTTCTCAGTCCAACGGGGAACCGCCAGCCGCACGCCATTAAAACATGCTCACTATTCAAACTAATGGGTTGTGTAACAGTCAGCTGGCTAACTGAGAGGCCTCCGTGCCACTGACGTCATCAAATATGGTATACTTGACGTCACGCAGGCTTTGCTTTCAAATTACCTCTTTTCTCAAGCAAGCTTTACGTTGCCACTTTTTCGGACCGGACGGTTCTACCTCGTTAAATAGCCTTGGGCGCAACTCCCTGTCATCTATGTGTATCGCCATAGGTTTATTTTGGCCAAGTGCCAAATGCGCGGCGCGGAAGAGATAGAACAATTTTACCTACCTTGACTCGCGTCGCTGCGTCCCGCTTGCTTTTGCTCGGTTCACCCTACTGATGTCTTGAGGGGGTTGGGGTAGTGCTTTTTGGATTTAAGTATGTGTTCAAAGATGCTGTGTATTATGCACGAAAGCTAAAGAAGTGTGTTGTGCATGATTCTGTTTGTGTATGGTAGCCATATGCAAACCTGTTGGTAATGTAAAAGGCGCAGGTTTTTTATTTTCATGATTCCAGTGTAAGGTGGCATTGGGCCGCTAGTTGCAGCGAGTTCGGAGTGCTTTGCCTGCTGTCTTGCAGTATGCTTGTGTGTGTGTGTGTGTGTGTGTGTTGCGTTTTATGCCTGTATTTACAAAGATATGTATGAACCTGGTAGTACAAAAATATTTCTTATTATTGTTTCTTTAAGATGTGCCCATTAACTCCTCCCGTTTGCACATATGTCTTCAAATTAGGCGATGAATTCCCGAAAAGCCTTGTGAGTGTTTCGTCTCCCGGCTTTCCAGCCCACGGTGCTCGGCTGGGACGCTCTAACTAGGACGCTTTAGGTAGTGGTAGAACAGTACACATTGCTGGACCTGAAAAAGTGGGGAGTGTAAGCAGTAACCGCCGTGAAGAAATCCTGATAAGATTCTGGTTCCTGCTGGCTCCTGAACATAATTTTAGAATGGATCTTGATTCTTGCTGAAATTGAATCTCCATCTTAAGCCTGAGATGGATCTTGGTTCTTGCTGGATCCCGCAACATAATTCCAGGCCGGATCTTGGTTCTTGTTGGGTCCCTATGTCCGATCCAAGCTGGATCTTGATTCTTGCTGGATCTTTCGTTTTCATGCCAAGCTGGATCTTGGTTCTTGTTGGATCTTTTGGCTTATTGTCAAGCTGGATCCTGGTTCTTGCTGGATCTTTCGACTTATTGTCAAGCTGGATCCTGGTTATTGCTGAATCTTTCGACTTATTGCCAGACTGGTTCCTGGGTTCTTCCTGGTTCCGGAACCAGGATCCAGGAACCGGTTCCCGGGAAGCAATCTTGGGAACCAGGCACAAGTCTGCCCCTACTGTGACAGGAAAGCTCTGGAGTCATTCGTTCTGCAGCGCTCATTCATGTGCATATTTTCTTTGCACTTGTGAGCATAGCATTGCATGGATGAAAATATAGGCATGTTTCATTACTGTTTTTGGCTAACATTGAATTGTAAAATGGTTCTGATGAAGCCATTAGCATAATCACGGTACACATCTAACTGCAGGCTGTGAGGGCAGACAGCCCGCCTTATATGCATCCTACTTGGCAATAAAATGAATATAGCTTGTGTGGTGGTGACATAATGACAGGAGTGCCAATTTTTAATGCATGATTAGGGGGAGATAGCAACCCATGGATCATGACCAGTAAATTAAGTCAAGAGAAGATGGTTTTGTGTTAAAGTTAGCTTTTTCTTATCTCATTTTGTAATTTTCTAGCTAAAAATGTTAGCTAGGGTAGGAATCGGGATTGAGGGGGCCCAACCCAACATTTTTCAATTTTCAGAAATTTTCAAAAGCAATTTTCCAGCTAGAAATATTGACTGGGGGGATCAGCATTGGGGAGACCGAATCCAACATAGATATTGCGCAGTGCCCCCAAAATTAATTTGAATTGACACTCCTGCATTGTGCATGACAGACATCACAGATACCCTTGGATTTGCATGCCACTCGCATGGAAAGGGCAATTTTGGCTTCCTGAATGAACTTCTACCAATGTTTGGATGTTGGTAATGAATATGTCGTTCTGCTGTAGCAGTTCATGTTGTCATGAACTGAAATACAGATTTTTACACCAGCATATATAACATAAATAAAAAAGAATGGCAGCCAATAATTTTAACCCCTACCCTGATTCGCCACTTTTTGTGACACGGCCTGGTGAGGGGGGCGGGGGGAAGATTTCCGGACGTTTGCAAACTAAGAAAGGTAAAGCCTGGCACAAAAAGAACAAGCAAACAGTGAGCTATCTTTAGCTTTATCTTTACGTTTAGCGAGATCTCGTGATTGGCAAAAAGTCTCCTGTTATTGACTGACCCCACTAAACCAAGCCGAAGGTGCAGTTTTCCTGAAAACCAAACATCAGCTTTGCATGTTCATGTATACAAAACCATACCATGAAGTGACATGGAACACAGAGGCGTGTCCCTTGTTCAATTATGGGTATAATGGCATGTAGTTTTATCCGTTTAGAGCCTGTATTTATAATGTAGGGCTTCGTTCATGTAACCGTGCCAACCCTCCGCGCGCGATCTGCAAAGTCGTCGCTCGCTCCCCGCCGCACCCGCCGACCCTTGATCGTCTTGCAATGTCGTGAAAAAAATATTGCTATTCTGAAATCAAAATTGCTAATGGCACTATCTTGTGTCAACACGCGTACAATGGATGGCCCAGAGGCTACCAAAGATTTGAACAAGACCGCACAATGTGCCACATTGGTATCCTCAGAAAACTGTAGGGGGGAAGAGATGTCGCATCGCCTACTCTCCCCCTCATGTCAGGGCGAGAAACTTGTTCCGAAAGATCTATACGCCTGATACGAGGTTATTGACAAATTTCGATACAGTTATTGGGGCACGCCGAGAGGCGCCCCCTAGTGAAAACATGTCGCGCCAGGCTTGGAGCATGCCTAAGGTGGATACTTTGATGACAGTTGAGATGGGCTCGAAGAGCAATCATGATTTTCATACGGGGGCATGGCCTCGTGGAGACCCCCATATTTAACGTCATTTCCAGTGCCGCTTGCTACTGGTTCGGAATCTGTCCTACATGTTGCTGCCCTGATTATCGAAGTCCTTCACTGTTTTTTGCGGTCGAGGAAAGCAAATCCAGCCGTGGACTGAGTTTAAACGTGAGGCCCCGGCAAGTCCCGAGGGTGGTAGAAAACTCCTGTTGTGATTGGGCTATCTCATTAGTCTAGGACAAGTGCGTCTGCTTTCCTAGAAACAGCACTTATATCAAAATTTGTTAAAGGGCAGTGTATGACTGAACGTTTCGGTTATGTGCATAATTTTGAAAATTGCAGCCGTGAAAGAGACTTTCGATGATAGGCTGATTACTGATGACGCTACTGGGCATGGACTTAAAGATTGGTTTGTCATCTGGTATCGCATTACGCTACTGGCGACAATTTTCCTCCAAAAATGTGTTCGGCGACACAGAGTACACTTTTACCACCCCTGTTCACCTCGCTAAACGTCAAGGTACAATAACAACAGTCAGGTTCTAAGTTGTTAAGTTCCAAAAGCACGATGCTGCCGCAGCCCGTCCGACGAATTGTCCCAAACAAAACAGGGCTGACTACCAGCCTCAGCCAATGGGTGGATTCGCCCCATGCCCGTCGGTGGGGCGTAGCTCCTCCCTTCGCGGGATGGCTATGCGAAAGACTGGCGCGTGCGCGGTCAGTCGAGCGCGGGTTGTGGACGTGGATAACCGTGGCGACGCTATCGTGATGGCCGTGGCGATTGCGCTCGTTCTCTTCGGGGCTGTGGGTCTGGTTCCAATGCCTCGTGCAGCTACCGCTACAAGATTGACTTTCAGACCACTCCCAAACTTCCTTGGTCGTAGCAGACAACTCAACCAGGGCTGGCAAACAAGTCTGCGCTTCGAACATCGGCGTGATGAAACATGGTTGCCCTGGACGAAAGGTCCTGGGATTACAAATATCAGGGGAGCAAGGTCCTTCAATTTCAAGTCAGGCAAGCGACTTTGTGATCGCATGGACGAAAGTGGTGCATATGAACGTGAGGAAGAACAGAGCGACGATCGTACAGACGCAAGTGATATGTACGACTGTGCGGAGGAGCATCTTGAATTTATGGATGGCGAGAACATATGCAACTATGAAGACTCAACCTATGACTTTTGCATGGACGACAAAAGTACGTGCGATTGTGAAGCAGATAATGGCGACGACTGCATAGGCCCAAGAAGCACATGCGATTATTCTGGCGAAAATCACTGTGATTCCAGTGATGACCTTGCCTGTGGGTGCACTGAAGATAGCATGAGATGTGACTGTAAAGAACATACTGGATGTAACTCCGAAGAGCACGTGGAATGTACCTATCAAGAGCATATGGAATTTGGTTGTGCGGAACATGTGGCATGTGACTGCGAAGAACATATGGGATGCAGCTGTAAACAACACATGGGATGCAATTGTGAAGAACAAATGGGATGTAACACGGCAACAACACCACCAGAGGCGACAACGGAAAGCACGTCAGAAACAACGTCGGAAAGTACAACTGTAACTCTGCCAGCAACAACGTCAGAAGGCTCAACAGGAGCCGTCTCGCCAACAGCGTCAAGGCTTTCAACAATGGGCACGTCAGAAGGCACCAAAGCGACGACAACAACCATGGTGCCGACAGGTATAACTGTAGCGACAACTGAAACGACAGAAGGCGATACAGCAACTACAACAACTGCTACGGCAGTAAGTACACCAGAGACACCGTTTGTGTCTGTTACATCAACGACTGCTGGAACAACCACACCAGCTGTGACTACGGCAGAAGCAACAACCGCTGGTATGACAGACAATTTTGTCACAAGCACAACAATAGAAATGACGATGACCTCGAAACCAACCACAGAGGGCACTACAACACCACCGTCTACCGGAACAGCATCGACAAGCACAACATCGCCAAATAAGACGACAATGACAACAAGTGCAACAACGCCTCCAACGAGTACAGCAACAGTTACTTCTGGCACGACGGCAATATCTGGCCCGGCTTCTACCAGTACTGAATCAACGGCAGCTGGAGCGTCAGTGAGTTATACGGCAAGTACAGCCCAAGCAACGACAATAAGACAAACAACACAATCCAACACCCAACCTTCGCCTACTAATACAGTTGGAATAACGACAACTACCCCGACTGAAATTTCCACGGCAAGCACGCCCACCGGTACGACGATGAGTCCTATCATACCACCAGAGAGCACTACATCGTCACCTTCTCCTAGCACCACACAGGCAACAACAACAGCCGTGGTGCCGACAGGTATCACTACAGCGACAAGTGAAACGACAGAAAGTGTTACAGAAACCACAACAACAGGCACGGCGGGAAGTACGCCAGGGACACCGTTTGTGTCGGTCACATCAATGACTGCTGGAGCAACCAATACGGACGTAACTACGCAAGGAACAACCACCGCTGGCATGACAGAAATTTCCGTCACAAGTACAACAATAGGAATGACGTTGACTTCGACACCAACCGCAGAGGGCACTACAACACCACCATCTGCCGGAACAGCAACGAAAAGCATAACAACGAAGCCAACTAGTGCGACAATGATGACAAGTGCAACAACGCCTGCAGCAAATACCACAACAGCCACATCTGGCACGACGGAAAGAACAGTAAGCGCATTCACAAGCAGTGAATCAACGACGGCTGCAACGATGGGAAGTTTCCCGGCAAGCACAGCTCCAGGAACGACAATGGGACCAACAACACCATCTAACACCCCACCTTCGCGTACTAATACAGCAGGAATAACGACAGCTGAGCCGACTGAAATTTCCACGTCAAGCCCATCCCCCGCAACGACGGTCGGTCCCACCATACCAGCAGAGAGCACTACATCGTCACCTTCACGTAGCACCACACAAGCAACAACAACCATGGTGCCAACAGGCATAACCACAGCGACAACTGAAACGACAGAAGTTTTTCCAGCAGCTTCAACAAGAGCTACGGAAGAAGCTACCCCAGTGACACCGTCTGTGTCTGTCGCATCGACGACGGCTGTCACAACCAATACAGCTCTAACTACGGCAGGAGCAACCACGGCTGGTATGACAGAAAGTTCTGTCACAAGTACAACAACAGAAATGACGATGACCTCGACACCAGCCACGGAGGGCACCACACCACCACCGTCTGCCGGAACAGCCATGACAAGCACAACAACTTCGCCAAGTAGTAAAACAATGACAACAAGTGCAACAACGCCTCCAACAAGTACAGCAACAGTTACTTCTGGCACGACGGCAATAACTGGCACGACTTCTACAAATACTGAATCAACGACAGCTGGAGCGTCAGTGAGTTATACTGCAAGTACAGTCCCAGGAACAACAATGGGACAAACAACACCATCTAACACCCCACCTTCGCCTACTAATACAGCAGGAATAACGACAACTAGCCCGGATGAAATTTCCACGTCAAGCACACCCGCCGGAACGACGACGAGTCCTATCATACCACAAGAGAGCACTACATCGTCACCTTCTCGCAGCACCACACAGGCAACAACAACAACCGTGGTGCCGACAGGTATAACTACAGCGAGAACTGAAACGACAGAAGGTGCTACAGCAACTACAACAACAGCTACGGCAGGAGCTACCCCAGAGACACCGTCTGTGTCTGTCACATCGACGACGGCTGGCACCACCAATACAGCTCTAACTACGGCAGGGGGAACCACCACTGATGTGACAGAAAATTCTGTCACAAGTACAATAGAAATGACGATGACCTCGACACCAACTACGGAGGGCACCACACCACCACCGTCTGCCGGAACAGCCACGACAAGCACAACAACTTCGCTAACTAGCACGACAATGACAACAAGTGCAACAACGCCTCCAAAAAGGACAGCAACAGTTACTTCTGGCACGACGGCAACAACTGAAACACCTTCTACAAATACTCAATCAACGACAGCTGGAGTGTCAGTGAGTTATACTGCAAGTACAGTCCCAGGAACGACAATGGGACCAACAACACCATCTAACACCCCACCTTCACCTTCCAATACAGCAGGAATAACGACAACTAGCCCGGCTGAAATTTCCACGTCAAGCACACCCAACGGAACAACGACGAGTCCTAACACACCACCAGAGAGCACCACATCGTCACCTTCTCGCAGCACCACACAAGCATCAACAACAACCGTGGTGCCGACAGGTATAACTACAGCGACAACTGTAACGACAGAAGGTGCCACAGCAACTACAACACCAGCTACGGCAGGAGCTACCCCAGAGACACCGTCTGTGTCTGTCACATCGACGACGGCTAGCACCACCAATCCAGCTCTAACTACGGCAAGAGCAACCACTGCTGATATGACAGAAAGTTCTCTCACAAGTACAATAGAAATCACGACGACCTCGACACCAACCACGGAGGGCACCACACCACCACCGTCTGCCGGAACAGCCACGACAAGCACAACAACTTCGCTAACTAGCACGACAATGACAACAAGTGCAACAACGCCTCCAAAAAGGACAGCAACAGTTACTTCTGGCACGACGGCAATAACTGGCCCGGCTTCTACAAATACTGAATCAACAACAGCTGGAGCGTCAGTGAGTTATACGGCAAATACAGCCCAAGCAACGACAATGGGACCAACAACCACATCTAACACCCCACCTTCGCTTACTAATACTGCAGGAATAACGACAGCTAGCCCGACTGAAATTTCCACGTCAAGCACACCCACAGGAACGACGATGAGTCCTATCATACCACCAGAGAGCACTACATCGTCACCATCTCGTAGCACCACACAGGCAACAACAACCATTGTGCCAACAGGTATAACTACGACAACTGAAACGACAGAAGTTCCTCCAGCAGCTTCAACAATAGCTACGGCAGAAGCTACCCCAGGTACAGAGTCTGTGTCTGTCACATCGACGACGGCTGGCACAACCAATACAGCTCTAACAGCTCTGACTACCGCAGGAGCAGTCACCGCTGGTACGACACAAAGTTCTGTCATAAGTACAACAATAGAAGTGACGATCACTTCGACACCAACCACAGACGGCACAACACCACCGTCTGCCGGAACAGCAGCGACAAGCGCAACAACGTCGCCAACTGGTGCGACCATGACAATAAGCGCAACAACGCCTGCAGCAAGTACCACAAATGCCATATCTGGCACGACGGAAAGAACAACAACAGCATTCACAAGTACTGAACCAACGACAGCTGAAACGATGGGAAGTTCTCAGGCAAGTACAGCTCCAGAAACGACAGTGGGACCAACAACACCAACTAACACCCCACCTTCGCCTACTAATACAGCAGGAATAACCACAACTAGCCCGGATGAAATTTCCACGTCAAGGACACCCACCGGAACGACGACGAGTCCTATCATACCACAAGAGAGCACTACATCGTCACCTTCTCGCCGCACCACACAGGCAACAACAGCAAACGTGTTTCCGACAGGTATAACCACAGCGAGAACTGAAACGACAGAAGGTGCTACAGCAACTACAACAACAGCTAAGGCAGGAACTACCCCAGAGACACCGTCTGTGTCTGTGACATCGACGACGGCTGGCACAACAAATACAGTTCTAACTACGGCAGGAGCAACAACCGCAGATATGACAGAAAGTTCTGTCACAAGTACAATAGAAAAGACGATGACCTCGACACCAACGACGGAGGGCACCACACCACCACCGTCTACCGGAACAGCCACGACCAGCACAACAACTTCGCCATCTAGTACGACACTGACAACAAGTGCAACAACGCCTCCAACAAGTACAGTAGCAGTTACTTCTGGCATGCCGGCAATAACTGGCCCGGCTTCTACAAGTACTGAAACCACGATAGCTGGAGCGTCAGTGAGTTATACTGCAAGTACAGTCCCAGCAACGACAATGGGACCAACAACACCGTCCAACACTCAACCTTCGCCTACTTATACAGCTGCAACAACGACAACTAGCCCGGATGAAATTTCCATGTCAAGCACACCCACTGAAACGACGATGAGTCCTATCATACCACCAGAGAGCACTACATCGTCACCTTCTCGCAGCACCACACAAGCAACAACAACAACTGTGGTGCCGACAGGTAAAACTACAGCGACAACTGAAACGACAGAAGGTACTACAGCAACTACAACACCAGCTACGGCAGAAGCTACCCCAGAGACACCGTCTGTGTCTGTGACATCGACGACGGCTGGCACAACCAATGCAGCTCTAACTACGGCACGAGGAACCACCGCGGATATGACAGGAAGTTTTATCACAAGTACAACAGAAATGACGATGTCCTCGACGCCAACGACAGAGGGCACCACACCACCACCGTCTGCCGAAACAGCCACGACAAGCACAACAACGTCGCCAAATATTACGACAAGGACGACAAGTGCAACAACGCCTCCAACGAGAACAACAACAGTTAATTCTGGCACGACGGCAATAACTGGACCGGCTTCTACAAGTACTGAATCAACAACAGCTGGACCGTCAGTGAGTAATACGGCAAGTACAGCCCAAGCAACGACAATGGGACCAACCACAACATCTAACACCCCACCTTCGCCTAGTTATACAGCAGGAACCACGACAGCTAGCCCGACTGAAATTTCCACGTCAAGCATATCCACCGCAACGACAATGGGTCCCACCATATCAGCAGAGAGCACTACATCGTCACCCTCTCGTAGCACCACACAAGCAACAACAAGAACCGTGGTGCCGACAGGCATCACTACAGCGACAAGTGAAACGACACAAGGTGTTACAACAATAGATACAACAATAGATACGGCAGGGAGTACACCAGGGACACCGTTTGTGTCTGTCACATCAATGAGTGCTGGAACTACCAATACGGACGTAGCTACGCCAGGAGCAACCACCGCTGGTATGACAGAAATTTCTGTCACAGGTACAACAACAGAAATGACGATGGCCTCGACACCAACGACGGAGGACACCACACCACCACCGTCTGCCGGAACAGCTACGACAAGCACAACAACTTTGCCATCTAGTACAACAAAGACAACAAGTGCAACAACGCCTCCAACAAGTACAGCAACAGCTGCTTCTGGCACGACGGCAATAACTGGCCAGGCATCTACAAATACTGAATCAACGACAGCTGGAGCGTCAGTGAGTTACACGGCAAGTACAGCCCAAGCAACGACAATGAGACCAACAACACCATCCAACACCCAACCTTCGCCTACTAATTCACCTGCAATAACGACAACTAGCCCGACTAAAACTTTCACGTCAAGCACACCCACCGGAACAACGATCAGTCCTATTCTACCACCAGAGAGCACTACATCGTCACCTTTTCGTAGCACCACACAAGCAACAACATCCATGGTGCCACCGGGTATAACTACAGCGACAACTGAAACGACAGAAATTTCTCCAGCACCTTCAACAATAGCTACGAAAGAAGCTACCCCAGGGACACCGTCTGTGTCCGTCACATCGACGACGGCTGGCACAACCAATACAGCTCTAACTGCGGCAGGAGCAACCACCGCTAGTATGACAGAAAGTTTTGTCACAAGTACAACTATAAAAATGACGATGACCTCTGCACCAACGGCAGAGGGCACCACATCACCACCGTCATCCGAAACAGCCACAAAAAGCACACCAACTTCGTCAAGTAGTACGACAATGACAACGAGTGCAACAACGCCTCCAACAAATACAGCAACAGTTACTTCTGGCACGACGGCAATAACTGGCCCGGCTTCTACAAGTACTGAAACAACGACAGCTGGAACGTCAGTGAGTTATACGGCAAGTACAGGCCCAGCCACGACAATGGGACCAACAACACAGTCCAACACTCAACCTTCGCCTACTTATACAGCTGGAATCACGACAGCTAGACCGACTGAAATTTCCACGTCAAGCACACCCAACGGAGCGACGATGAGTCCTATCATATCACCAGAGAGCACCACATCGTCACCTTCTGGTAGCACCACACAAGCAACAACAAGAACCGTTGTGCCGACAGGTATAACTACAGCGACAACGGTAACGACAGAAGGTGCTACAGCAACTACAACACCAGCTACGGCAGGGAGTACACCAGGGACACCGTTTGTGTCTGTCACATCAATGACTGCTGGAACTACCAATACGGACGTAGCTACGCCAAGAGCAACCACCGCTGGTATGACAGAAATTTCTGTCACAGGTACAACAACAGAAATGACGATGACCTCGACACCAACGACGGAGGACACCACACCACCACCGTCTGCCGGAACAGCTACGACAAGCACAACAACTTTGCCATCTAGTATAACAAAGACAACAAGTGCAACAACGCCTCCAACAAGTACAGCAACAGCTGCTTCTGGCACGACGGCAATAACTGGCCCGGCATCTACAAATACTGAATCAACGACAGCTGGAGCGTCAGTGAGTTACACGGCAAGTACAGCCCAAGCAACGACAATGAGACCAACAACACCATCCAACACCCAACCTTCGCCTACTAATTCACCTGCAATAACGACAACTGGCCCAACTGAAACTTCCACGTCAAGCACACCCACCGGAACGACGATCAGTCCTATTCTACCACCAGAGAGCACTACATCGTCACCTTTTCGTAGCACCACACAAGCAACAACATCCATGGTGCCACCGGGTATAACTACAGCGACAACTGAAACGACAGAAATTTCTCCAGCACCTTCAACAATAGCTACGAAAGAAGCTACCCCAGGGACACCGTCTGTGTCCGTCACATCGACGACGGCTGGCACAACCAATACAGCTCTAACTGCGGCAGGAGCAACCACCGCTAGTATGACAGAAAGTTTTGTCACAAGTACAACAATAAAAATGACGATGACCTCTGCACCAACGGCAGAGGGCACCACATCACCACCGTCATCCGAAACAGCCACAAAAAGCACAACAACTTCGTCAAGTAGTACGACAATGACAACGAGTGCAACAACGCCTCCTCCAAATACAGCAACAGTTACTTCTGGCACGACGGCAATAACTGGCCCGGTTTCTACAAGTACTGAAACAACGACAGCTGGAACATCAGTGAGTTATACGGCAAGTACAGGCCCAGCCACGACAATGGGACCAACAACACAGTCCAACACTCAACGTTCGCCTACTTATACAGCTGGAATCACGACAGCTAGACCAACTGAAATTTCCACGTCAAGCACACCCAACGGAGCGACGATGAGTCCTATCATACCACCAGAGAGCACTACATCGTCACCTTCTGGTACCACCACACAAGCAACAACAAGAACCGTGGTGCCGACAGGCATCACTACAGCGACAAGTGAAACGACAGAAGGTGCTACAGCAACTACAACACCAGCTACGGCAGGGAGTACACCAGGGACACCGTTTGTGTCTGTCACATCAATGAGTGCTGGAACTACCAATACGGACGTAGCTACGCCAAGAGCAACCACCGCTGGTATGACAGAAATTTCTGTCACAGGTACAACACCAGAAATGACGATGACCTCGACACCAACCACGGAGGCCACAACACCAGCACCGTCTGCCGGAACTTCGCAAACTAGCACGACAATGACAACAAGTGCAACAACGCCTCCAACAAGTACAGTAACAGTTACTTCTGGCATGCCGGGAATAACTGGCTCGGCTTCCACAAGTACTGAAACAACGGTAGCTGGAGCGTCAGTGAGTCATACTGCAAGTACAGCCCCAGCAACGACAATGAGACCAACAACACCATCCAACACTCAAACTTCGCCTACTAATACAGCTGGAATGACGACAACTACCCCGACTGAAATTTTCATGTCAAGCACACCCACCGGAACGACGATGAGTCCTATCACACACCAGAGAGCAATGCATCGTCATCTTCTCCCAGCACCACACAAGCGACAACAACAACCGTGGTACCAACAGGTATAACTACAGCGAGAACTGTAAACGACCGAAGGTGCTACGGCAACTACAACACCAGCTACGACAGGAGCTACCCCAGAGACACCGTCTGTGTCTGTCATATCGACGACGGTTGGCACAACCAATAAAGCTCTAACTACGGCAGGGGCAACCACCGCTGATATGACTGAAAGTTCTGTCACAAGTACAATAGAAATGACGATGACCTCGACACCAGCGCCGGAGGGGCACCACACCACCACCGTCTGCCGGAACAGCCCGACCAGCACAATAACTTCGCTGACTAGCACGACAATGAGAACAAGTGCAACAACGCCTCCAACAAGTACAGCAACAGTTACTTCTGGCACGACGGCAATAACTGGCACGGCTTCTACAAATACTCATTCAACGACAGCTGGAGCGTCAGTGAGTTCTACTGCAAGTACAGTCCCAGGAACGACAATGGGACCAATAACACCATCTAACACTCCACCTTCGCCTACTAATACAGCAGGAATAACGACAACTAGCCCGGCTGAAATTTCCACGTCAAGCACACCCACCGGAACAACGACGAGTCCTATCATACCACCAGAGAGCACCACATCGTCACCTTCTCGCAGCACCACACAGGCAACAACAACAACCTTGTTGCCGACAGGTATAACTACAGCGAGAACTGAAACGACAGAAGGGTGCTACAGCAACTACAACAACAGCTACGGCAGGAGGGTACCCCAGAGACACCGTCTGTTTTTGTGACATCGACGACGGCTGGCACAACCAATACAGCTCTAACTACCGCAGGAGCAACCACCGCTGATATGACAGAAAGTTCTGTCACAAGTACAATAGAAATGACGATGACCCTCGACACCAACGCCGGGAGGGCGCCACACCACCACCGTCTGCCGGAACAGCCCCGACCAGCACAACCACTTTCCAATCTAGTACAACATGACAACAAGTGCAACAACGCCTCCAACAAAAACAGCAACAGTTACTTCTGGCACGACGGCAATAACTGGGCCGGCCTTCTACAAATACTGAATCAACGACAGCTGGAGCGTCAGGCAAGTTATACGGCAAGTACAGCCCCAGCAAGGACAATGGGACCAACAACACCATCCAACACCCAACCTTCGCCTAGTAATACAGCTAGAATAACGACAACTAGCCCGACTGGAATTTCCACGCCAAGCACACCCACCGGAACGACGATGAGTCCTATTTTACCACCAGAGAGCACTACATCGTCACCTTCTGGGAGCACCACACAAGCAACAACACGAACCGTTGTGCCGACAGGTATAACTACAGCGACAACCGTAACGACAGAAGGCACCACAGCAACTACAACACCAGCTACGGCAGGAGCAACCCCAGAGACACCGTCTGCGTCTGTCACATCGACGACGGCTGGCACCACCAATACAGCTCTAACTACGGCAGGAGCCAACCACCGCTGATATGAGAGAAAGTTCTCTCACAAGTACAATAGAAATGACGATGACCTCGACACCAACCACGGAGGACACCACACACAGCACCGTCTGCCGGAACTTCGCAAACTAGCACGACAATGACAACAAGTGCAACAACCTCTCCAACAAGTACAGGAAACAGTTACTTCTGGCATGCCGGGAATAACTGGCTCGGCTTCTACAAGTGCTGAAACAACGATAGCTGGAGCGTCAGTGAGTCATACTGCAAGTACAAGCCCCAGCAACCACAATGGGACCAACAACACCATCCAACACTCAACCTTCGCCTGCTAATACAGCTGGAATAACGACAACTACCCCGACTGAAATTTCCACGTCAAGCACACCCACCGGAACGACGATGAGTCCTATCATACCACCCAGAGAGCACTACCTCGTCATCTTCTCCCAGCACCACACAAGCGACAACAACAACCATGGTACCAACAGGTATAACTACAGCGAGAACTGAACGACAGAAGGTGCTACGGCAACTACAACACTAGCTACGACAGGAGCTACCCCCTGAGACACCGTCTGTGTCTGTGACATCGACGACGGCTGGCACAACCAATAAAGCTCTAACTACGGCAGGAGCAACCACCGCTGATATGACAGAAAGTTTTGTCAACAAGTACCAGCAACAGAAATCACGATGACCTCGACCACCAACGACAGAGGGCACCACATCACCACCCGTTGTCCGGAACAGCCACGACAAGCACAACAACTTCGCCAAATACCACGACAATGACAACATAGTGCAACAACGCCTCCAGCAAGTACAGCAACAGTTATTCTGGCACGACCCGCAATAACTGGCCCGGCTTCTACAAGTACTGAATCAACAACAGCTGGACCGTCAGTGAGTTATACGGCAAGTACAGCCCAAGCAACGACAATGGGAACCAACAACATCCAAACACCCACCTTCGCCTACTAATTCACCTGCAATAACGAACAACTAGCCCGACTGAAACTTCCACGTCAAGCACACCACCGGAACGACGATCAGTCCTATTCTACCAACCCGAGAGCACTACATCGTCACCTTTTCGTAGCACCACACAAGCAACGACATCCATGGTGCCACCGGGTTATAACTACAGCGACAACTGAAACGACAGAAATTTCTCCAGCACCTTCAACAATAGCCCGAAAGAAGCTACCCCAGGGACACCGTCTGGGTCCGTCACATTGACGACGGCTGGCACAAGCAATACAGCTCTAACTCGGCAGGAGCAGCCACCGCTGTATGACAGAAGTTTTGTCACAAGTACACACAATAAAAATGACGATGACCTCTGCACCAACGGCAGAGGGCACCACATCACCACCGTCATCCGAAACAGCCACGAAAGCACAACAACTTCGCCAAGTAGTACGACAATGACAACGAGTGCAACAACGCCTCCAACAAATACAGCAACATTTACTCTGGCACGACGCAATAACTGGCCCGGCTTCTAACAAGTACTGAGACACAACAGCTGGAGCGTCAGTGAGTTATACGGCAAGTACAGGCCCAGCAACGACAATGGGACCAACAACCGGTCCAACACTCAACCCTCGCCTACTTATACAGCTGGAATCACTACAGCTAGACCGACTGAAATTTCCACGTCAAGCACACCCAACAGAGAGACGATGAGTCCTATCATACCACCAGAGAGCACCACATCGTCACCTTCTGGTACCACCACACAAGCAACAACAAGAACCGTTGTGTGCCGACAGGTATAACTACAGCGACAACGGTACGACAGAAGGTGCCACAGCAACTACAACACACTACGGACGGAGCTACACCAA